TTTAATGAACAGTCCTGGCCCACCTGCAGCTTCCTGCCCCAGTTCAAGTTCATTACTTTGGCTTACACAGCAGTGGGAAGCAGCAAGACCTTAGCAGGTTAGCTCCCTGCGCTTCCTGCTAAGTGGATCGTGATATTGGGAGGCTTGAGGAAGGAGAATGAAGCCTGGTGGGGGGAATTCCATTATTTAATTCTGCAGATACTTGCATGTTCAAAATTGGTAAAAAAATTTAACCCGATGAAATGTTCGCAGTCACGTCCTGTAAAAGGTGGTGAGTCTGAGAAGATGCCACCCTTTCTTTGGGGGTATGTGAATCCAGATACCCTGCCAAGCCCGGATAGGCCTCCCTCATTAGACCAATTCTTTTAGAGGTTTCAGATGCCTGAGGGGTTGTATGAGAGACCTGTGTCCACTGAGAATTGATCATCGAAGGGAATTATGGAGACATGGACTGCAAACAAAGTGGAAATTTGGGGAACAAATAAATGGTTTTCAGGCAGTGGTCTTTTGCGTAAGTGCCCTTGAAGGCCATCTCCCCCAGTCTCTCACTAAATTCCTTCCTAAATGCCCATATAGGAAAACATGTTTGACTCTCACACTTTAGAAAGTGATATGAACCTATGCCAGGACTTATGCTGGGGTCTCTGATGCAGAAGGGGGGGGCATACAAGGTGGAGGTTAATATCAGGGTTCCACGCTGAGTCCCTGTGCTGGCACATACTAGTTCATGGACTTGATCTAGTTGCTCTTTTTGCCTAAGTTTTCTCCTGAGTAAATGTGGAAGGGGAGAACTTGTTCATAGTGTTGGGATAAAATCAAACAAATAGTAGACGTAAAGCCCTGAACTCAGTGAATGGCATAAAGCAAGTGTTAGATACATGCCTCCTCTTACTTTTATTATTAGTCTTTTAAATGATGATGAAAGACCTCTAGAGGTTGACCTGAGATGCAACAACTGGATCAGAGAGAGCAATGTAGATTTCACTTTGCCTGTAAGTGCCAGGCAGCCGTGGCAGCCCCCTGCAGGGAACGCTGGGATCAGACGAAAGAAGATTCCAGACAGGCCCGTGCATGACCCGGCCTCCTGAGAAGCAGCAAAAGCACAGGCAGCCTGCTGGGTTTGGAATCCCAGCTCCACTTGCTGCATGAGCTTCTCTGGAAGCTACGGAACCTCTCTATGCCTCAATTTTCTCATCTGTAAAATGGGCTCCTGGAAGACTTAAATAAACTAGTGTATGGCAATTTCTTTAAATACTGCCAGCACATTATGAGGGGGTAAATGTTAGCTATTTCGATCATCATCAAACTTCCCAAACCTTGCCTTGGCCTGGGAATGGTTTTCTTACAATGGACTTAGTGAAAAGCCTCTCTCTAAGATTCTATTTCTCTCAGTTCTCCTGAGATGGATGGAGTGAGGGGGTGGGGACATGGGGGCTAGTGTTCTGGGACCAGGGTTGATGGTTGTGGAGGTGTTTCCAGTTCTATTTGCCTGTTAAACTACAAACCGCGGAAGAGAGCTTTTCCTCACATCAAATCCCAATAGAACCTTGTACTGTTGGTAGGACCAGTGTCAAGCTGTGTATTAGCAGGAGGAGCCTTCACTCATGGAAGGATGCTGTGTGCACACATCCTCAGGAGTCAGAGCTGAGAAAATCCTGAGAGAGATACAGAGAGATGAGGGTCCTCACCCTGATTATTTCTCCAATTGTGGGCCTGCAGGAACCTGCCTTGGCTCAATGATAGTTACAAGGGGTGGGGGGAATCATATTTTGACCAATAAGAAATTCTGTTTCAAATGTCCTCTGCTAAATACTGGGAAGTAAATCCCACTGTGTACTGGGCCTCTCCTCCCAGTAGCAGAAAGTCTCTGCCAAGCCATCTGTCCTGCATGGAAGTTTGCACTGCCCGAGGGATCCTGAGCACCCCGCCCCCAGTGCTTCCCCTCTGGCCAAGGATTGAGTCATGAATGAGCTGCTCTGTTAGCTGCGCCAGGATGTAGTTCTGAAGCATTGTTTCTGCTTGTCAGCTTTGGATATGATGTTCTCAGCCACAGGTACCCTCTGAGCATTCCTTGATAACTTTAACCAGAGTTCCATGTAGACCCTTAACATGCTCCAGTTCCATGCTGCTTCATTCCCATCACCCTGGCGTAGGGTTTTGGAGAGGTGGGTGGTCTCTCCTCCTACCTGGAAGGTGGTCTGTTCAAAGACAGCCCCATCTTCCTGGCACCGAAGTAAGTGTTTTGCCACGTCCTCTGGACCACTCCCCTATCAGGCTCCCAACTGAGAGACAACGGGGCGCATTACACCATGGTCAGGAGCTTGAGTGACCCAGCCTGGTAGACATATTTTAGTTAAGGTCTCATGAGGTCTTTATGCAAAAACAATCCATGCCCTTGAGCTGCTGAGCCTTTATGAACTGTGAGATCTCGCCATGGGTGGCAGAGAATTGGGATAATGGTCACTGCGAATGGACCAGCATTCCAGATGGAGGGCCCAGGGAAGGGGAACCATAGTACTAAGGACGTCCTTTAGGCCAGTGCTTCTCAATCTTCTTTTTTAATAGCCACCCCTTACTTCCTGGAGCCTTTTAAGACATTTGTTTCTGTAGTTGACCCACTTTCATGAAATTGTAATAGCAAAGATATACTGTATATCTGTTTATGTACTGTGGCCCCAGGTGGGCCACAAACCATTGTAATATCTAAGATCTTTTTTTGTGTGTGTGTCCCCTAAGAATCACTTCATTTAATTGAGGATGATACTGTTTCTATTGAGAGTGAATATTTTAATCTGAGTCTTTTTGGCCCTCCAGCCCCAGCTGTAATAGCAAGGGTGAATTGAGGTGAGCAGGAATAGAAGAAGACCAAACATGAGAGGTATTGACTCCATAAAAGAAGCCATGGGCCTGAGTCTACAGGAATTGAGCAGGGCTGTTGAGGACAGGACACTGTTGACATCACTCATTCGCTGGGTCACCAGGAGTCAGAGCCAACTCGGTGGCATGTAACACAACAGAGAGTTAGTGCATGTGTATAACACGCATGCCTGTTTGACACTTGGAGTCACATAGAGCCAGCTCAGTGTGAATTCTAGAAAGACTGGGCCATTCTCTTTCTCCATCTTCCAATTTTCCACTTTCATAAACACTAGATGACTATCTTCAGGCAAGTCTCTTGGTCTGCATGTAAGATAATTTCCTTGCTTTTCTTTTTCTTTTTAAATTAAAAAGTAATGTTATCATGTCAAAAAGAACCAGAATATTACTGCATCTTAAATATTGCCAGTCAGTATCCAGATGATTATACCTGGAATGCAGAAGAGAGCCTAGCTCTTCTCTGGACCTCTGCTGGCTTGAGCAGTATTCTTTTCACAAGCATTCTCTAATTTGAAAAGCAAGATGGTAACTCATTGCTGCTTGCATTAGCTTTCTCATGGTGATCAGTGAGGGTGAAATTTTGATCCCTTTATCTTGTTGAAGGGTGAGAGATAAATCAGTTTCCTCTCAGTAGCCCACTGACTGCCCCACCCCAGTCGGTTGCTAAATTTGTTCTTTCCCACTGACTCTTATGCCTCCCCTATCTTCTAGAAAGTTTTATCTGAATTATTGACATCCTGATGATGACATCTGCTTGGATTTTTGAAATAGGTTTTGAATGAAGGCTCTTTAAAGGCAATTGCACTGTGGGGGTGAACACTTTGGCAAACTTGTGTGCAGACATCTGGCCATCTTTATTGTTGGGGACCAAGATGCAGTGAGCTCTTGGTGGAGACTCCCTCTTAAGCAGTTCTAAGGTTTGGAATGCCACCCTGTTGAGTCACTGAAGCTTGGACAATCCCTTGAAGGTCTGCTTTTGTCTGCATTGGCTCAAGTTGACCTTTTGGTCAGTGTCCGCTCTGGCATGAAAGATCCAATGGATGTTGAACTGAGCAAAGGAAAACAAACTAGAGACAGCATGCATTCATTCCACAAGTACAAAATGAGGACCCACCATGGGGTTGAATATACAAAGACGTTTCAGACTAGGACCCCGACCTTGCAGGGCTCACAGTCCAGATAGGAGATAGACATGCCAATCAGTGACTGAGATACAGGGTGATAGGTTCTATAATAGATGCACATTAAGTTAGCATGAGAGATGGAAGAAAATTTGGCCTACTTAGTGAGATGAGGAAGGTTCAGGAAGAAAATTAAAAGAGAACATGATATTTAAGCTCCATCTTAGAGAACTTGATGGCATTCATCAGGTAGACAAGTCGGGGAAGGCATCCCAGATGTATGGAGGCATAGAGCTCTGAAAAAGCAGGGCATTTTGTGTAGAGGTGGGGAGAAAAAGGATAGTGGGACTTGCATGCTAGCCTGAGGTGGTTTTCTTATTTTCAAAGATGCATTGATTTATAAAGCATGATCGGATATGTTTGGGGGAAGTAAACTCAGAGTTGCCTGGAGGATAGAGTGGAGGTGAGAGTGGGAAGGCAGAAAGCAATTCTACTGAAAACATTATAATTAAAACTAGGACTATGAATCCTTGGAACAAGTTTCCCACCATAGTCTTTGTAAAGGGATTATCAGTTGGATTAACAAGGAAAATAGAGCAGCCCCGGGTATCTAAGAGGTGAGTTCAATAAAATACGCTGACTAAATGTATGCATGAGTGACAAAGATGAAGGAAGAGATGGGGGGAAGCCACAATTTCTATCACATATAGTTGAGTAATTTGAGATCCAGGAAGTACAGCAGGTATGAGGAAGTGCAGGTTGAGCATTTAGATAGAAATACTGACAAATAATTAGGGCTATGTGGTATTTGATGTACAAACAATTGCCAATAATTTCTGTGTTTCCTTTGGTATTTTAAGAATGTTGCACAATTTTCAGTAATGCTGCTAGTTATTTATTGAGGTGATGCCAAGGAGAAAAACATGGAGATGTTTATTTCATAGGGTACAGTAAGCCAATTTCAACTACTTTTCTATTCATATTTCTATCTTCTCCTTCCAGGGGATGGCCAGGTGGATTTTGATGAATTCATGACAATTCTTGGCCCGAAACTGGTGTCTTCAGAAGGCCGTGATGGTTTTCTTGGAAACACAATAGATAGCATATTCTGGCAGGTGAGTAAGAATTTTTTTAAATTAATTTTGACAGTGAACACGTATCTAGACAAGTTTTTGACTCTGCTTTCTTGAGCTTCTGTTTAGCACATGAAGATCTCTTCTGGGCTGGAGTGACATACATTCTTTGTTGTCTAAACTGAGGTCCATACTAAGCCCTCTGAACGAAAAATCAAAACTATATACATTTAAGGTTTGGAGAAGTGAAATATCTCCCTATTTTTCCTTATATCAAAAAGAGTTTTACATTTCTCCACTTGTGATTCACAAAAACCTTTTTCCGTGGGACACCTATAAAGGACATATCAGTATTATTTAAGCCCAGTTCTTTCCCTGGTTCCAGGAGACCCTTGCTGAGGGGATGACATGGTTATCTTGTGTGTTGCAAACCTATCAATACTCTTGTCCTTAATAGGAAAGAATGGTTTTACTTAAGAATTTGTATTTAATGGGTCTCAATTTGTTCTTATTCCTGTCTTGTAAAATCTCTTAGGAAATTCCAAATATCTGCCTTTGAAATTTTAATGTGCTATGAATCATTAATCTTATAATGTGACTATTATTTCATGATTGTGGAATTTGGGGAATGGGTTATCATTGATTATATTAAAAATAATTTGACAAGTTCAATCGATTTATTGATTAGACATGTAAAACACCATTCAAACACAGCATGGTTTCTTTAATTTCTTGACGTGTCTTTCCCTTAACCAAAGATATTTCTGTAACCTAGATAAGGATGGCGGTTGACATGTATCTTTCCTCTGATTCTGTTACGCATCTTGCTTACAGCCAACAAGTAACAAGAACGTGTCATGTGCCCTGTAGTCTAACAGTCACTGTGGATTTTTACAAAAGATGTTTAAGACACAGTCTTGGCTATTTAAGAATTTGGTTGGGGAAGCACAATTAAGAAAGAGAAAGTAAAGAAGTGATTAATTGGCGCTATGGTTACTAGACTGTAACCTCCTTGAAGCCGGAGCCTCCATTGTTGTAGCCCGTTGGCACCTGGCTCATTGCATCCAGCAGGCCCTCAATTACAATTTTCTTTGAATAGAAGGAGTAGAAGTTCAAGAAAGGAGACAAATGTGGTCTTGAAGGGTCAGGTAAGGCTTCAGGAAATGGGGGCACTTGTTTCAAACTTTGAAAGATGAGGGGGGTGAAGTGAGCAAAGAAAGAAAAGAGAACATTCCAGGCCTGTCAAGATGAGAATTTGAAAAGGGTGAGTCTATGAGCATAAGAAAGTCATTGACTGTAACAAAGGTACAATATAAAGTGAAGGATCTCAGGACCACTGGCAGAATGGATTTAGATCCTGAGGAAGGAGAAGAGTTGAGATGACTCCAAGGTTCCCAGCTGGCCTTTATTGCCAGGAGTAGGGTCATGGAGAAAAAGAGCCTTTGTGGAATTCTAAATTGGACATGTTGAGTGTAAGGTGAGACTCAGATAACCAAGAGAAGGAGGAAAGTCTATGCACAGCTGAAATCAGGGATGGATTGCAGGCAGGAGACCAGGGCTGGAAACCCTGGGATTCATCAGAACTGGTGGGCGAGCTCACCAGGGGAAGATGCATGGGTGAAGACGAGCAGAGAGACAGGACCTGTTTCTGGAGAATCCCAGGGCAGGGGACAGTGACATGAGGACTTTGATCTCCACTCTGCTCAGACATATCGGGAGAACACTGTCTCCCCGAACTGTGGTTCCCTGAACTGTGGTCATGATCAGCCCTGACCCTTCCTAGAGAAGGATCTCCATGACCCTATGTGCCAAGTGATGAGAATATTTCCCATGTAACCCTTCAGGTATGACTTCATACTTGGAAGGACAGACGATAGAATGCCCTGGCAGAAATAAAAAATAAACACACAGGAGGGTGGAGAAACACTGTTTTGCATCTGGTCATCATTCAGCCCATGCAGATACACGCTGGGTGAGCATCGAGAGTTCTCTCCCTGCTTCCCCTCCTTCTCTGCTCTCCTTTATTCCCGTCTGAATGGTTTCTACCCATTGCCTCTGCCTTCCTGGCCTGCTGTAGTCTAGGAGAGTGCTGCAAGGCCTTCCTGGCTCTAAGCATTCTGCTTGGCCCCCATCCAGGAGGGGAAGGAGCTGTAGGTACTTAGCCTCACATCTTCTGGGTTTTTCATAGTAGAACATCTACACAAGGAGGAAACTCTTCTCTTACAGTGGCTTGACTGCCTCTACCATAATTCAGATGGGCCATTATGCTCACAGGGCCTCTCTGTTTTTGTCTTATCAAAGACCCTCCTCCTCACCCAGGGTGCTAAGTGGGATGAGGAAATGAGAGTGAAGGGGAAAATTCCATTCTGGAATATTTAAATGAATGAGGGAATGCATGGACATGTGGCTTTCTTCTCCTGCTCTTGCTCGCTCAGCTCAGAATTATATGATTAGCAAAGGAGAACAGACACATCAATCAATTCTCAATAGTCAGCTGTGTTCCCCACCCCCGCCATCTGTCCATTCAGAGACAGAGTGAAAAATGGTACTTAAAACATCCAGAGCATCTGGTTCTTCCTGGAAAAAGTTCATATTTTCAATGCCTGAGTGATTTAGTGGTTTTTCAGGTTTAAAAGAAAGTTGTGTGTGTGCATGTGTGTATATGCACATGTGCGTATGTATATTTGCTTGGCCACAGAGGTTGAGGATGGTATAGAAGAAGAGCAGCAGAAAGGCAGCTTACTGGGCTGGATACCCAGGCAGGAGATATTAATATCAGGAGATACCAATATTTTAGAAAGGAGAAGACCATCCATTTTAAGTCACTCTAACAGGCTTCCCACCAGGGACAATGTCAGCTTCCTGCACTAATAAACTTAATGGTACACCTGGCAGGGTGCATTGATGATCTGTTTGCTGCATAATACATTACACCAAAAGCTAGTGACATAAAACAACTCTAAATACTTACAATCTCACATGGTTTCTGGGGTCAGGAATTTGACAGCAGCTCAGCTGGATGTTCTGGTTCAAGGTCTCTCAAGAGGTTGCAGTCAAGATGCTGGCTGGGGCTGTGACCATCTGAAGGCTTGGCTGGGGCTGGAGGATGTGGTTCAAGCTCCTTCATGTTGCTGGCAAGGTGACACTGGCCTTTGGCAGGAGACCTCTCAGGTCCTTGCCACTTGGATATCTCCATAGTGCTGCTTGAGTGTCCTCTTGACATGGCAGCTGGCTTCCCTCAAGGCAACTGATCCAAGAGAGGACAAGGCAGAAGCTACAGTGTTTTTTATGACCTAACCTTGGAAGTCAAACTCCATTATTTCTGCACTGTCCTCTTGATTTCACAGGTCATCCCCAGTCAGGGCGGGAGAGGACAGATTCTTGAGGCAAGGGTCACTGGGGCCCTGTTGGAGGCTGGCTACCACAAGGGTAAAGACTCTGTGATTGGGCTTCAGCTCCTGATCCGACATTGCTGCCACAGCCTTCCATTTCCCTCAGGATTTGGTCTCTTCCTACCGTAGATGAGACCTGCGACCAGGGCTGTTCTCTGTGTTCTGAGAAGTGATCCTACCAGGCACTGGGCTCATCTTGCTAATCAAATCTGTTTCCAGTGCTCTCTCCCTGCTGGCTTTCTAGCCTACAGTGCCAAGATAAAAATAAAATCAAATGGGATTCTGTAGAAGCAGCTATTTATCGGTTGGTGCTAGTCCCAAAAGCTATGAGCCTCTGGCTCTTTGCAGGAAATTGGTATCGGTGAAAGCAGAATGTAAGTGGCTACTAATGCAGCCTTGTCCCAAGGAGGATGGTCCAAGGGCCGTGCCCCAGAGTCTCTCTCCATCCTTCCAGAGTGCTCGGCCCTTGGGGTGTGAAGCTCGCAGATTTCTTGACATCCAGCTCAGAACCTAGATGTCCTGAACCTCTGCTGGTCCATATGCAAGATGGTTGTTATCATAGCTAGTTTACCCCGCAGCTGTGGGCAATGTCCAAGTCACTTTAAGTTACCCTGACCTAAAAGTGCATGAGACACCCATCCCCAGATTTGGTCAAAATCAGGGCCTGTTTTTCGTGCTGACTTCTCCAACAACAGATCTGCTCAGCATCCTTTCCAGCTGTCCACTCCTCCCCATCTGGTGGGACAATACACTGCAGGTGTAGTGAAATACCCAGAGCTGTCCCCAGGCATTGCTCCATGCTTGCCCTCTGTCCATCTACCCAGAATTCTTGCTCTGGCCTCATGTCTTCCTTGGTTTTCCATTCCTTCTGTGACTCTCAACTCTTGATTTCTCTCCCGTGGGGACATGTATGTGCTGGCCTCTGGGACATGGCTGAGATGGACTAGGAGCTGGACTTAAAATTCTTGACTTGTGGGCAGTTTGCACTTGATGTTCCATGTTCCTGATAGATGAGAGAAACACTGTATGAGCTACAGGTGCAGTGTAACCCAGGTCTGTTTTGCATAAGAGGACTGGAAAGAAATATATCAGAATATCCACAGTGATTTCTCATGTGTGGTAGGATGGTGAGCGATCATGTCTCTCTGTACTTCCCAAAATCTTGACAGGGGGCATGTGTTACTTCTATAATCAGAAAAAGAAACTTAAAGGAAAATGTTATCTATTAAATATCTACAATTTGTTCATCTGTAAAACTGGAGGTTACCTGTCCCATGAGGTTGACTGTTGATAAAACTTGCAGGGAAAGCAAATTAAAAAACAACCGCCCCAGAAGAAAGCATGTTTATTCCTGTGAGGCACTGATTTGTTGCATGGGGCTGAGGCATAGAGAACACCAGGACCTTTACTTTTTTTGAGAATAACTCACGTTCCAGGAGGCAGTCTCTCCTCACATCAGACCTGGCACCAACAGGATTCTCCCCTCAATATTTTGTCAACGTGCCAAAGCTACTGATCCTCACTTCTTAATCATCTAATGGAACCTAAACAGCTATTAGCCGTGCCCATCACAAGGTCTGTTGGACTGACAGCCAGCCCTTGAATCCGCAGGGCGGTTTACTGCATTTGAAGTATGGAGGATGGGAAGCG